TCAAAAACACTTGACTTCTTCGTGGAATGTTCACTATAAGCCTGTTGTAACAGAGCTAAAGTTTCACATGCACTTTTGCCATTTACTGTTGTGGGTTTAGTAACACTTTAACCATTAGCGGCCCGGCCTATAGCCGTTTGGCGGCCGCAAAAATGCTTTGCGCGGTTGCAGAGCTGCGCAGCTGCGCGATCTGTCACCGGCCGTGTACCTCGGACACGGCCGATGACAGATCTGAGTACCGGCCCCCGTTGCTGGTACCATGTGACCTGCTGTGACCAATCACAGCAGGTCACATGACATTTGTATACAATGGATGGCTTCATTCATGCCATCCATTGTATGCTAGTGCCTAGCTGTCACAGCAGGTCACATGCACATGTCATGTGATTAGCTGTGGCCAAATCACAGCTAAGCACAAAAAAAAAACAAAAACCTGAATGAATCGATGTAATTCAGGTAAATGCTTGCTTATAGCAAAGTAATTCTTTGCTATAAGCAAATTGTGTAAAAAAAAAAAAATACTGATCACTTCCCCAAAGTAGTACAATGTTACTATGGTAACATTGTACTACTTTGGTCATAGTAAAATATGAACAAAAAACCTTAAAAAAAAATAAAATAATGTAATAAAAAAATTAAAAATAATAATAAAAAAAAAATATATATATTTTTTTTTTTTCATACTGTCACCAGTCAGTGTCCCTGTTCACTGCCATGCCCGTTATATGATGATGCTGTACTGCACTGGTGACAGTATGTAAAAAAAATAATAAGTGAAAATAGTTTTTTTAATTTTTTTCATTTTCCGAAAAATTATGACAAAAAAATGCAAGTACGTCGGACTGTCTACTTTGCAAAAAGGGGTCATTTGGGGGATATCTGTACTGTTCTGACATTCTTGGACCTCAAGAAATTAGATTGGCTGTCAGTACTTCAGGATTGATCAATATTCAGTTCTATACCATAGTTTGTGAACTCTATAACTTTCCTACAAACTAAATAATACATCCTAATTTGGGTTATTTTCACCAAAGACATGTAGCAGAATACATCTCGGCCTAAATTTATGAAGAACAATTATTTATTTGCAAACTTTTATAACAGAAACAAAGAAAAACATGTTTTTTTTCAAACTTTTTGGTCTTTTTTTGTTAATTTAGCAAAAAATAAAAACCCCAGCAGTGATTAAATACCACCAAAAGAAAGCTCTAGTTGTGTGAAGAAAATGATAAAATTTTAGTTTGGGTACAATGTTGTATGACCGCGCAATAGTCATTCAAAGTGTGAGAGCGCTGAAACGTGAAAAATGGCCTGGGCAGGAAGGTGTAAAATTGCCCGGTATTGAAATGGTTAACTAATGCCATTTCTGTATGCTGCTATATCATTTTCAATAAAACTTTTATGGAACAAAAAAAAAAGATACAATAGCAACACATTTGAATCCTTGCACCACCCAGATACAGATGAAACAAGTTTACTAGTCATTGATATGCATTTAATCTCCTTGATTGCATTATTATTGTAACATCACGCTGTATTATACAACCATAAAGTGTTCCTAAAACATCAAAAGGCATCTGTCTAAGTTGACCTTTTGAGCAGAATTGGAGGCAATTATTTCCATTGCTGCCCAAGTCTTTAGAAATACTTAAAAAGCTCTAAAGCTATAATTGTTTCCCACCTTTCCTGTAACTTTGGGATGGGTTGTAAATTTTAAATAATATAAAGCAGAGGAGGGAAGTGTGCAGGTGGAGTTGTGAAGCTCATCTTCTCCCAGGACTGGTGATGATGGCCAATGCTGATGTTTCGCTTAGCACACAATTTGAAACTTTCACTGAAATGTCAAAGAGGTTCAAACAATAAAGACCTGTGTCAGATGAAGTAAGAAAAGGGCTTATCTTTTGATCCCAGAACTTCCCTTGAGTGTGTGTTTAGGAGTCCACGTGCAAATCCTCCCAACAGGAAAGGTCTATTACAGCTCAATAAAACACCTCCGACATTCAATGCCGTAGCAGAACAGAACAATCTAGCAGCTGCAGGGATTTCCCATTGATTCCGCTAGCACAGGCGCGGGCCCTCTATCTCTTCCTGTAAGGGTGGGGGCAGAAACGTTACAGCCACCCGGCCTCAGGAAGCCAGTCGTCCATCAGCCTCAGCTCTCCGGGGCGTGGGGACCCCGGCTAAAATATTTGTTTGGTGGCCACATCACCAACACGTGCTGCCTAAGCACTTGGAAAACAAAAGCTGGATGTCTGGATCAAACGGCAGGAAATGAAGCAGCATGAGGACGACAGGTCAGCAGGACGAAGGCAGTCGCTCTCTTTCGACTCTATTGTTCAATAAAAAAAAGAAGAAAAATAAGTAAATAAAGTGAAAAAAAATTAACACATCCTGAAGCTTCGTATCAAGAAATCAGCAAGAAAAACAAGCATCCTATTCACGCACAGCGCAGAACAGCTTTTATAGGCCTTTTGGCAAGGAGACATATGTCAAATCCAATTAGTGGCAGTGGTCAGGCTATGAAAACTGGTTAAATACTCCCCTGGATATTTAGGACTTCTAATTAATACTGAAAGAAGGTGCTAGTGGAATGCGAGGGTAGAAGGGCAGTCTGGAATGTGCTTGGTATATCTGCCCAGTCACTTTTCCAAGAGTTATGGTCATTTACCTTGATACAAGCACCATCAACAGAATTATAGTCAGGAATAATATATGTCTTTTATACAGTATCTTTGCTTTTGTTATATGCGATATCAAAGGCATTTTTAAAGGCAACCCCAATCCTCTTATTCTCGGGTTCCCCAACAGCACTCCTGGCCCCTACCTCCTGCCAAATGCCCCCAGACCAAGCAGCTTTCTATAATATACGTCTTTTATACAGTATCTTCGCTTTTGTTATATGCGATATCAAAGGCATTTTTAAAGGCAACCCCAATCCTCTTATTCTCGGGTTCCCCAACAGCACTCCTGGCCCCTACCTCCTGCCAAATGCCCCCAGACCAAGCAGCTTTCTATAATATACGTCTTTTATACAGTATCTTCGCTTTTGTTATATGCGATATCAAAAGGCATTTTTAAAGGCAACCCCAATCCTCTTCTTCTCGGGTTCCCCAACAGCACTCCTGGCCCCTCCCTCCTGCCAAATGCCCCCAGACCAAGCAGCTTGCTATGGGGGCACCCAAGCATGCTCGCTCCCAAGTTCTGTTCTGCGTGTCTATTCACACATGGAACCACAGCTTGGCCCCACCTGAGGGGCGGACTGACAACTCATGGGGCCCCCGGGCAATAGGGGATCATGGGGCCCCTGTGTCCTTGCCCAAACTCAAAAAAGCCCATGAAAAAGGTACCAGGGGCATCTCATGGGGCCCCCTACTGACCCTGGGCCCTCGGGCAGTGCCCAAGTTTCCAAATGGTCAGTCCGTACCTTCCCCACCCTTCTCTCCCTTTCTTTGATCACTGGCTGTGATTGACAGCAGCGAGAGCCAATTACTCTCACTGCTGTCTAAGCTAATGAAGAAGGAGAGTCCACAGAGAGCCAAGGCTCTTGTGCACATCGCTGGATTGCGATGGGGCTCAGGTAAGTAGGCAGGACTGAGGGGGGAGCTGCACACTGAAGGTTTTTTACCTTCATGCATAGAATGCAATAAGGTAAAAATCTTCAGCCTTTACAACTACTTTAACCTCTTGCCTACCGGGCACTTTCACCTCCGTCCTGTCCAGGCCAATTTTCAGCTTTCAGCGCTGTCACACTTTGAATGACAATTGTGCGGTCAGGCAACACTGTACACATATGACATTTTTATAATGTATTTATTTATTTAATTTTTTATTTTTTTGCACAACTAGAGCTTTCTTTTGGTGGTATTTAATCACCACTGGGGTTTTTTTTTTGCAAAACAAATTAAAAAAGACCAAAACAATTGGAAAAAAAAAAACCTATGAAAAAGGTACCAGGGGCATCTCATGGGGCCCCCTACTGACTCTGGGCCCTCAGGCAGTGCCCGAGTTTCCAAATGGTCAGTCCGCCCCTGCCCCACCCTTCTCTCCCTTTCTTTGATTGCTGATTTTTATAATGTATTTATTTATTTAATTATAATTTTTTTTTTGCACACCTAGAGCTTTCTTTTGGTGGTATTTAATCACCACTGGGTTTTTTTTGCAAAACAAAATAAAAAAGACCAAAAAACAAATTGGAAAAAAAAAAACTTTTTCTTAATTTCTGTTATACAACTTTGCAAATAAGTAAATTTTTTTCTTTGCTGATGTGTGGTAATGAGGCTGCACTGATGGGCACTGATGAGGCTGCACTGATGGGCACTGATTGGCACTGATAGGGCTACACTAATGGGCAGTGATGAGGCTGCACTGCACGCAGAGGGGGTGGGGTTCTGGGAGGACATCAGTAGATGCCCTCCCAGAACTGGACGACCACCCTGTCAAATTTTGGCTATAGCGCAGTCAGCAAATCATTAATGAACTGTGTAAGGGTTCATTCGTAAATAGCATGTTTTTATGCAACCTCTATATTAACCACTTGCCCTCCAGAGGATTTACCCCCCTTCCTTACCAGGCCATTTTTTGTGATACTGCGCTGCGTTATTTTAACTGACAACTGCATGGTCATGCAACGCTGCACCCAAATGAAATTTACGTCCTTTTTCCCCACAAATAGACCTTTCTTTCGATGGTATTTGATTGTCTGTGCGTTTTTATTTTTTGCGCTATAAAAAAACAAGACCGACAATTTTGAGAAAAAAACAATATTTTTGACTTTTTGAACATTAAACATGTTCAGTAAAAAAATAAAAAAAATTTAATTTCATCATAAATTTAGGCTATAATGTATTCTGCTACATGTATTTGCTAAAATAAAATCCAAATACTTGCAAATTAATTAGTTTACGTGAAAGTTATAGCGTTTACAAATGGCAGTATTTATATACTGGAATTGAAAAAAAAAAATTTCTACTAGTTATGGTGGCGATCAGTGACTTATAGTGGGACTGCTGGACTGCGGCGAGCATTGTGACACTGGAGGGAACTGACATCCCCAGTGACACCAATACAGTGATCAGTGCTAAAAATATCACTGACACTGTACTAACGGCACTGGGCAGGAAGGGGTTAACATGTGGGGAGATCAAAGGGTTAACTGTATGCTGTTTTACGATGAGGCTGTGTGCTGTGTGTGTGTTTCACTGTAAGCATACTGCTTTGTATGGCTCTGCTATGCAGAGCCATACAAAACAGTGTGCAGGAGTTGAAAGGGGAGATATCTATGTTGTTTATCCACAGGTCTCTCCCCCGTCGGAGATACTCAGAGATCACTGGGTGTTGGTGAGAAACAAACAGCCGGGACCCGATGATTGACAGCCAAGGCCGTGAATGAAAACACACCTTACCCAGAACTGCAAAATCACGTATATATATATATATATATATATATATATATATATATGTGATTTTGCACGTGCCACCCTGTAGCAGTATTTCTGCTATAGGGCGGTGCGAAAGCAGTAAAGTGTATTCAAAGCTGTTTTTCATAGAACAGGGAAGGGTTAAGGCCCCATCAGGGTTTTTTTTGCTATCTATATCCCATTGGGGAAAATTATCATCACTTCCTGCCCCATAGACACAATTGGGTTGATTTGATAAAATTAGAGAGTGCAAAATCTGGTGCAGCTCTGCATACTGTAGAAACCAATCAGCTTCCATTTTTTTTTTTGTCAAAGCTTAATTGAACGAGCTGAAGTTAGAGGCTGCATCAGATTTTGCACTCTCCGGTTTTAGCAAATCAACCCCAATAGGACGTACGAGGGAATATCTTCAAAGGGAAATCCCAACCAATTGTCACCAGACCAAGTGCTCGCATTGGATGACGCAACATTTAGGATTTTCTACTCAATTTCAATCCTTGTTAACCCCTTCCCACCTATCCTCAACATCCCTTCATAACCAGGGGGGCAGGTTGGACTTCCCGATCATGTGACCACTTTGATTGGCTGTCACAGTGGTTGCGTGATTGGGAATCCATCCGGCCAGCTCTAAATCATTATTAGAGATGGGGGGATGTCTATGACAGTTGAGTCACTGCGCTGGAAGCCCAGGTCCATGGACGCAATTTGTCTGGCATGTATACATTTGCATTAAGCAGGCAGCAAGAGGTTAAAATGGTAACTACTATGCAGGGGAGGATTGACAATTCATGGGCCCCCGGGCAATAGGGGATCATGGGGCCCCTGTATCCTTGGCCAAACTCAAAAAAGCTATGAAAAAGATACCAGGGGCATCTCATGGGGCCCCCTACTGACCCCGGGCCCTCGGGCAGTGCCCGTGTTTCCAAATGGTCAGTCTGCCCCTGCTACTATGACATAGAGAGTAATGCTAAATCTTCCAAATGGGGGCACAGAAAAACAATTAAACCTGTTGGGATGGAGCTATATAGCTAAAACTAAACTGGGAAAATAGACAACAAAGAACTTGCCCTTCCCTCCTCTAGCTGAAAAAATGGCTTGACTTGCTTTGTTAATGGCGGAGTTGCAATACGAGGCTATCATTGAGTTGTGCTTATTCTTGTGTAGTCATTCTTCTGGCAGTTCCCCTCTATATAGCTGCCCCTGTTTGGATTAGAAGCACGTTTATTTTGATGACTGAGAAAATTCCCGTTGACAAGAAAGGTACCAATGTTTGCCACCTGTACTGGAAACAAATCGTATTTGGCTTTTAATGTTCATGAGCCTCATTCATCAAAGTGTCTAAAACAAGGACCATCTGGATTTTAGACAGCAGGCAATCGTTTTTTTTTTTTTTTCTATGTCCATTTTTTTTTTAAATTGCACTTAGCAATTAAGAAGGTATTCTGACCGATTGCTGTGGACATTACAGACAGTCCCTATTGAAGGCACTTGTAAAATTAGACTCTGTGGTGTCTATTTATAAAAAAATTTGCTTTGCCAATGTCTCAGTGTTCATGCAAAAGTTCCAAATAGTAGTGTTTGTAATAGTTACATAGTTAGTCTGGCTGAAAAAAGACAAAAGTCCATCCAGTTCAACCATAAAAAAAAAAAAGTTATAATCCTACACCCACAGTTGATTCAGAGGAAGGCAAAAAAAACCCAGCAAAGTAAGATCCAATTTGCTCCTGTAGGGAAAAAATTCCTTCCTGATCCCCCGAGAGGCAATCGGATATTCCCTGGATCAACTTTACCTATAAAATGTTAGTATCTGTCAGATACTGTCAGATAACTGTCAGTTATATTCTGTGTATCTAAGAAATAATCCAGGACTTTTTTGAAGCAATTTACTGAGCTGGCCAGAACCAACTCTTGAGGGAGTCTATTCCACATTTTCACAGCTCTTACTGTGAAGAAACCTTTCCGTGTTTGGAGATTACATTTCTTTTCCTCCAGACGTAAAGAGCGCCCCCTTGTCCTCTGTGATGACCTCAGGGTGAATAACTCTACACCGAGTTCACTATATGAACCACTGAGGTATTTATACATGGAGATCATATCCCCCCTTATGCATTATACATGGTGATCATATCCCCCCTTATGTATTATATATGGAGATCATATCCCCCCTTATGTATTATACATGAAGATCATATCCCCCCCTTATGTATTATACATGGTGATCATATCCCCCCTTATGTATTATACATGGAGATCATATCCCCCCTTATGTATTATACATGGAGATCATATCCCCCTTATGTATTATACATGGAGATCATATCCCCCCTTATGTATTATACATGGTGATCATATCCCCCGTTATGTATTATACATGGAGATCATATCCCCCCTTATGTATTATACATGGTGATCATATCCCCCTTATGTATTATACATGGAGATCATATCCCCCCTTATGTATTATACATGGAGATCATATCCCCCCTTATGTATTATACATGGAGATCAAGTCCCTCCTTATGTATTATACATGGAGATCATATCCCCCCTTATGTATTATACATGGTGATCATATCCCCCGTTATGTATTATACATGGAGATCATATCCCCCCTTATGTATTATACATGGTGATCATATCCCCCCTTATGTATTATACATGGTGATCATATCCCCCCTTATGTATTATACATGGAGATCATATCCCCCCTTATATATTATACATGGAGATCATATCCCCCTTATGTATTATACATGGAGATCATATCCCCCTTATGTATTTATACATGGAGATCATATCCCCCCTTATGTATTATACATGGTGATCATATCCCCCCTTATGTATTATACATGGAGATCATATCCCCCTTATGTATTATACATGGAGATCATATCCCCCCTTATGTATTATACATGGAGATCATATCCCCCCTTATGTATTATACATGGAGATCATATCCCCCCTTATGTATTATACATGGTGATCATATCCCCCCTTATGTATTATACATGGTGATCATATCCCCCCTTATGTATTATACATGGGAGATCATATCCCCCCTTATGTATTATACATGGAGATCATATCCCCCCTTATGTATTATACATGTGAGATCATATCCCCCCTTATGTATTATACATGGAGATCATATCCCCCCTTATGTATTATACATGGAGATCATATCCCCCCTTATGTATTATACATGGAGATCATATCCCCCCTTATGTATTATACATGGAGATCATATCCCCCCTTATGTATTATACATGGAGATCATATCCCCCCTTATGTATTATACATGGAGATCATATCCCCCCTTATGTATTATACATGGAGATCATATCCCCCCCTTATGTATTATACATGGAGATCATATCCCCCCTTATGTATTATTATACATGGTGATCATATCCCCCCTTATGTATTATACATGGTGATCATATCCCCCCTTATGTATTATACATGGAGATCATATCCCCCCTTATGTATTATACATGGAGATCATATCCCCCTTATGTATTATATACATGGAGATCATATCCCCCCTTATGTATTATACATGGAGATCATATCCCCCCTTATGTATTATACATGGAGATCATATCCCCCCTTATGTATTATACATGGTGATCATATCCCCCCTTATGTATTATACATGGAGATCATATCCCCCTTATGTATTATACATGGAGATCATATCCCCCCTTATGTATTATACATGGAGATCATATCCCCCCTTATGTATTATACATGGTGATCATATCCCCCCCTTATGTATTATACATGGAGATCATATCCCCCTTATGTATTATACATGGAGATCATATCCCCCCCTTATGTATTATACATGGAGATCATATCCCCCCTTATGTATTATACATGGAGATCATATCCCCCCTTATGTATTATACATGGAGATCATATCCCCCCTTATGTATTATACATGGAGATCATATCCCCCCTTATGTATTATACATGGAGATCATATCCCCCTTATGTATTATACATGGAGATCATATCCCCCTTATGTATTATACATGGAGATCATATCCCCCCTTATGTATTATACATGGAGATCATCATATCCCCCCTTATGTATTATACATGGAGATCATATCCCCCCCTTATGTATTATACATGGAGATCATATCCCCCCTTATGTATTATATGGAGATCATATCCCCCCTTATGTATTATACATGATGATCATGTGATCATATCCCCCCTTATGTATTATACATGGTGATCATATCCCCCCTTAGGTATTATACATGGTGATCATATCCCCCTTATGTATTATACATGGTGATCATATCCCCCTTATGTATTATACATGGTGATCATATCCCCCCTTATGTATTATACATGGTGATCATATCCCCCCTTATGTATTATACATGGTGATCATATCCCCCCTTATGTATTATACATGGAGATCATACCCCCCCTTATGTATTATACATGGAGATCATATCCCCCCTTATGTATTATACATGGTGATCATATCCCCCCTTATGTATTATACATGGAGATCATATCCCCCCTTATGTATTATACATGGAGATCATATCCCCCCTTATGTATTATACATGGAGATCATATCCCCCCTTATGTATTATACATGGATATCATATCCCCCCTTATGTATTATACATGGTGATCATATCCCCCCCTTATGTATTATACATGGAGATCATATCCCCCCTTATGTATTATACATGGAGATCATATCCCCCATTATGTATTATACATGGATATCATATCCCCCCTTATGTATTATACATGGAGATCATATCCCCCATTATGTATTATACATGGATATCATATCCCCCCTTATGTATTATACATGGAGATCATATCCCCCCTTATGTATTATACATGGTGATCATATCCCCCCTTATGTATTATACATGGAGATCATATCACCCCTTATGTATTATACATGGAGATCATATCTCCCCTTATGTATTA